ATATATATATATATATATATATTCAAAATTATAATAAAAATAATCATAAAATTTTTAAATGATTTATTTAATGATTTTTTTATAATAATTGTGAATATTCATTAATTCATTAATTCATTCCCTTTATTTTAGGTTTCTTTGCGGCAAGGAGATCAAGAAGAGGAAATGCATTTTCCGACTAAGGACAAGGGTCCCTCCTAACCCCCCATCTAAGTTGTTTCCAGAGAAGGCCCAGAACAGTGAGGGCCACAGGGGCCGCAAAAAAGGGGTCAGCAGAAACAGGTTAGTTTGAGCATTTCTGAGTGCCTCATTAGTGCCTCCCAATTTTATGACCAATACCTTTTGTTGATGTCACATGGAAACATTAAAATTGATTATCATGAGACTGATCCCAATTAAATATTTTATTTGATTTACAGTACTATTTGTTTGTTATTTTTCCAGCTGATCGTAACTGAGATCTTCATTTTTACTTGATGCTTCAAAGGGAATTTTGACTTTCGAGAATTTAGACTTTCGCAGTGCTTTAATGCAGTGAATGCTCTGAAAGACACATGGCTTCTCCCTTGTATAGGCCATAATGTTCAAACCCTGTTTGCTTATTTTATGTTTCATAATAGTATTTTTATTTTGTTTATTTTATAATTTTGTTTTCAATATTATGTTTCTGGACTATGTGGTTAATATTTAAAGGGGTCATATGATGCGATTTCAAGTTTTCCTTTTTTTCGTTGTGAAAGCGAAACTACTTTGTGTTGTATTTACAACACTGTTCCAGAACAGTTCAAACCAAATATTCAGATGTGTGCAATGCATTTTACAGAGGACGAGAACTGTTTCCTGAGAGAGTAGCCTACAATGCCGGTGTCCTGACAAATAATGCTGACTCACAGTCTATAAGTACGTTTTCATATTTAAAGAATTTGCCACTGATGATTCAAACTCGAGTTTTGAGCAGTGTAGAGTAGTGCTGTGTTCAAAATATCGATACGATACAAATGCAGACATGGTTTTGTGTTTACGCGGCGCGATGCAACGCAACGCGTAAAAAGACAGTATAAGTCATTATAATCTGTAATTATGTCCCCACTGGATGCAACAAATGCCTCGTTTATAATGGGTTTTAATGTTTTTGTCTCGTCGCTCCGGACACGGGATCACAGTGTGGTAAGGGGCGTCACATTTCCGTCACACGCTTAAGGTATTCGGCCAGTCACAACGCACTGGATAGCTGGCCAATCACAGCACACCTCGCTTTTCAGAACGATGAGCTTTGTAAAAATCAACGCGTTTCAGAAAGGCGGGGCATAGAGGAGAAACAATAATGTGCAGTATGTGGAAAATAATGTTTTTTTTTAACCTTAAACCGCATAAACACATTTCATTACACCAAATACACCAAATAACATCATATGACCCCTTTAACATAGTGTCTCTTTAAGAGATGATGATGTTTAGAAGATATAGTATTTAAGCCTATAGGGGGCATAACTTCCTTTGTGATCAGCTATGGAAGCACATGGTTTTTCTACCGTGTCTTGTTTGCTTTTGCTGGATGTTTGGAAACCTGAATAAATCAATTTGGATTAAGAAACAAGAAGATGCATGTAGACACTTTACTGACACAGATTTTCACCAAACAATGGAATTTATATCCCCTATAATTGGACATTTCACAGCCACAAACCTTTTTAGGATTCAGTCATTTTAGCTGTCTGATCTGTATTGACATGTTTAGTGGGTGGAGATGATGTGATGATTGACAGTTTAATTAGTTCAGTTGTTATTATGCTGGATTATGTCGTTTGAATGTTTCTCGTTTTCCTCTGTTGCAGTAACTCTGTTCCTGCAGAGAAGCGGAGGAAGAAGAGGTCCAAGTGGCTGCTGGAGGATGCTATTCCTAATGTAAGCTTTGTCACTTCACTGTGACTAAAGTTGGATAATATGACCTTTCTTGTCTGGTTGAAAACTGTGTTCTGTTATTACAGCTGCTAAGACGGTGTAATAAACAAAGGGTTCTATGCCAGATGCATAAACACAAAAACTGTGTCTTAAGAACTAGCCAGCTATCAGTTAGCTAAGGGGTAATCAGTCTTATATTTCCGATTCTAATTAGGCCAGTTGACATTAAGTTTCAAAGAAAAAAAGAGATGCAACCAGCTGCACTGATCTATAGAATTATCAAATTATTCAACACTATTTTTAAATACTGTATGAGTATATTTATCAGTGGTCATTTGATATGAGTTGCTCAGTGGCAAATATTGATATTTAGAGGCGGCCAATACAATGCAAATTAGATGGATTTTATATGCACATACAACCCCGTTCTATATACAGTATATATATATATATATAAT